CTCAAACTGATATCTACATCGTAGATTATTAGTTATTAGGTACTAGACATAAAATTGCACAGTCCACCGGAAATCGAAATATCCCAAGCCGCAATTTACGTATGTTTTAAAATACATGGGCCGCAATTTACATAGTACATATATGACTATGATCTTTTTTTTGGGACGCAATTTACAGACTCCGATTATTTTTTTTTTTAAACATAGGTGAAGAAATATGTGAAAAATTTAACTCTCCAGTGGCATTTGTCCCTCCTACTGCAGTTGGCTTCAAAGGGTTTAGCTTTCGGTGATGAGCTCATTTAGTCAACCCATATCGACCACGCCAATACAGGCCACAAGTGATTGAGCTAATTTTATTGATATTTATACATTGTTTTGTTTGTTCTCTTGGTAACAAATTAAAATACAAAAGACTAGTTACTACTACCATAGATTAAATATACTAGTATATTAGTGTATATATATATATATATTTATACTAATAAGTAATATGTAAAGCTGTGAGCGCATTTTTTATGTAAAGTAAACTCGATAATTATCGGTTCAATTTTGATCGGATTTTTCATTTATGTGTTTTTATCACTTTATAATGATAATAGTCGGAAAACTCGATATCAACTATTAATTTATTATATTATACATCATCGATAACAGAAACAAAATAAATTTAAACATACCCCGTACTTTTGCGCGTGTAGGCAACAGCTCGTACTTAACGACGTGACGCGGCGGCTGTGTTGTAATGAGCACCGACTGTACGACCGATCGATGACGAGGATCTTCGGACAATTTGAAATGGCAATAATCATTTTATAATGATTCACCAAACATAAAGCCTTAATTTATTTCAATACCGTATTATTTTCAAATTATCGAAAACTTTTTTAAAAAAGAATTCATTCAATGCATGGTTGATATTCACGTTTAAATCACGATATATGTTCAATGATGTCTGTCCATTTGAGCGATATTCTCCCATTGTTAAACGTAAATAAGACGTAACGTTGAAAACGTACTTTTATCAGTCTTTGGAGTCACAGGCAAAACTTACTACATTATACGTTTTTTTTATATGAACGTTTTGGAAACGCATATATGCATTACAAATTTCGAGGGCATCAACTTGCCGTCGTCACCAAATTTCTTCCTCACTCAATATGCGCAGATATACGACGTATACCAGGATCTCTATTTTTGGATTTATGCGTATACCTTAAAGAAAATTCGTACATTATGGGTATACGCCAACTGAAAATGCAAGCATTATGGGTATGCGCAAGCTTCTAGTTTATCATCAGTCATAATTAATATCACAGTATAAAATAAATAATAATAATAATATTATACAATTATTGTTTTATTATGTACACTATTACAATGTCCAAAAATAGCCTTGACCCCGTATGAAGTTCGGTGTTCGGAAACTGCCGAGCCTTTATACTGTTTAGTGTAAATATTGATATTAGCATCAATATTACAGAAGTTTAAAATGTATGCCGTATGCGTCCACAGCGGATATTCCACTAAATTTTAAACTGTCAGAATACTACTCACAATTAAACCAAATCTACCTGTTTACATCCTGTTCGTCACAAAAATCGCAATTTTGATTTAACTTAAACATAAAAAAAAAAATTCACAATTATGCAAAATATTTGTTGGATAAATTAAATAAATTTTTTAGCTATAAAAATAAATTACCAAAATTAAATTTTAAAAGTGTGCTAATTATAAGTTTTTTATACGTTGATACGTTTGATACATGTATATGACACGTGAAGACTGAGTGTTTTTAATAAAAGATAAAGCTTATTAAATACTATTATAACGCTTATTATAAGTGTTAAGATATTTCAACCGAAGCGAGAAAATTTTTTAAGGTATACCTATTCAATAACTTTTAATTTAAGTGCGTACCTATACTTATAAATTTATTCACCAATACACCACTGTCGTCACTTATCCAAATATCTAGAAAACCGTCGGGTAAAATTGAATAGTAAGTTTCAAATTACTTTCTATAAGCAACTTTGTCTAGAGATTTCGTTGCAATAGGAACAAAACACGGAAATTTGAATAAAATAAATATTACGAAGTTTGAGGAAACGATCTCGAAGATCGGTGACAAATAAATCGAGGTATGATAAGTAAATAATAATTTTATTTAAATTTTAAAATAATCTGCAACAGTTCGGATTCGAGTATAATGTTAGAACGGTTAGTTTGCAAGCGACGTGTCCCGATTTAGTCACAATTCATAGATATATTGTACTTCTAACAAAATATTTCTTCTAAGGTCATAAAAACCAAGTTGAAGTTACTTCTATAACATTGTCTTCAATGAAGAAATCGATAAACGGCAAACATGACAATAACACTTTAATGGGGTGTACCATTTATGTTATACATTATTACAAATAACTAATAAGGATATAAAATATTTAATATAAAAATGAAAAATACAATTTATATTTTTCAGTAATTGGTGGTACTACCCCCTCCCCTCTCCACACATACACACACTTTACGGAAAAGAATGCTAGTTGTACTCTACTCTTCCAATAGTCAAAATTCGATGTATTAAATATATTGCAATTACCTATTTTTAAAGGACCATACTGTTCGGTGTCGACTTTTGTGTTTCTCCTTTTATTCGTATGAACGTTTTAAAAAGGAAAAGCAGATACTTCGTAATTTAATTTTTGAGTTTATATTGACGTGTAAGCTACAATATAATATAAAAATTTCTTTTTTATGTAGGTACCTACATGACCACATTCAACTAACAAACAATAATAATCTATTTTATAAATTAGTTAGTTTACCTACTAATATTTAAGTTTTTTATTAACAAAGTACCTACAACAGAAATTTTGTTTTCTTGGTGCATAGCGTCACTAAGTATTCTTACTTTTCCTACTAGCTGTAACGCTATCATATTTGTAAAAAAAAAATTGTTAGTGCAAATCTACTCTGCAAAACCTTTCTAATTATATGTATATATACCTTTCCCTACCATTTATATGTTATACAGGCGGAGTTATGTTATTGGAATAACTAAAATTATTTCACTTCTTCACAAATATATTAATATAATGACATTACCTACTTGTTAGGAAAAAATAATTCATAATTCACTACTAATACTATAATGATTGATAAGAATACATGATATTTATTTTGAATTAGGTAGAAATACGATAACTCGATACCTATGTGGCAAAGAATATGAATGTAGTACCGATGCGATGAGGCGCATGATTGCTGCTTTCACCTGTTTAATATATAAGAATTATCCATTTCTGAGCAATTTTAGAAAATAAATGATAAATTTTAAACAACAATCATTAAAAACTATATAACTTAGAAAATTATGCATTCATACATGTATATTAATAGACACAGCATAAACATTTTCTCATTAGGTATTGAAGAAATAATTAAATTCAATTATTAAACTATCCATCACCACTGTATCAACACTATTGTCTAAGAACAATAAAAAATTAATTTTAAAAATTGTGAAAATTAAGTAAATAAAAAATGATATTGAAGTAAAAACAAAGGAATGCAAAATATTCTAATTTTTAAGCAGAATATTTAATGAATAACTATTGAATTGAAAGTCACTTGGGAATAACTGGCATAAGCATAAGTATAAAAAATAAGTTAACAGTTAACCTCATTATAATACATAAAAATAAACAGAATGCAAATGCAATTTAAAAAAAAAAAATTATATAAATTATTAACCTACGTTGTAATAAAACCAAAGACTGCAGTCTACATTGAATAACAAACCAAAAATATTAAAATAAATAGAAACAAAAATGTAAATAACTAATGATCGGAGGTCAGTTATTCAGGTATTGAAAGTATAAATATACATACGACTATACACATTACAAAAATTTCAATACTATATAAAATTTAAAAAAAATATAACCACCTGGCTATGCAGTGTGTGTTAAGTATACCTAATCAAGTTATTCACTGTAAGTATTTAATTACTTTCATTTGAAATCAACAATAAATCATTGTGTATGAAAAATGATTTTAAGCTTGATGGTTCACTTAGCTTTTATAAATTTATTTAGAGCATATTTAATTCATATTGTTGAAATTATCATTAATTATTAATAATATTCAAATATAATATAATATCCTTTTATAATTATTGAAAAATTTTGAATTAGTAACGCCTTACTGAAGAACAGTATGGAGTATAGCCTATAGGTAATAACCTAAAAATGTATTTAAGTCATTTATCATAAAATATAACACAGGGAAGTTTCTAATTCCATTTTAAGAGAAATAAAACAAAATATGAAATTAACTGGTCACTTGGCCCATACAAATTGTAGTACATCTAATAAGCACATATAATGTTTTTGTTTTGTTTAAAAAATTATTCATTATAGAAACTTAAGTAATAAACTACTGTCTACAATTACCATTTCTTAAGCAGAATGAAATTAATTGACTATAATATGGCCTAGTAGGTGAAATTAAAAACCCTAAAAATACATAAAATTAATTATCCAATACAATTACTTCTCTTTAGATATTTTTGTATTGAATATCACTATTAATATTAAAATGTATAACCAATTGACATTTGATAAGGCTTTTTACCTTTTTTGTTTCAAAGTATTGTATCATTACAATACATATTATGAATTATTAAAATGTAATAACAAATAAAATAAAAAACCATTAGGAAATAATGGTTTACAAATGTTTTTTTTTTTTTAATGTACTCTGTTATTTTGATGTAGTGGGTATATGTTTATAAATATTATACTCAGCAGCAGTAGACAAGAGAACACGCACCATTTTATCTACCAATAAGCATATCATAACAATATCATACCATATGCATAAGTCAACTGCCATGTACGTATTTTAACTTGAAAAGAGTAAAAATTTACCGATTATGCATGATTTAAAAAAAAACAAATTTATCAAACATAAGATACAATAAAAATTGAAGATATATTATATCAAAACATATTGTAATAAAATTAACGAGCACTGACAGACACTTGCCAAACTCTAATGTTATTATCTGAGTAACCAGCAAACAATGTTTGTCCATCAGTAGACCATGCAAGTGATAGACATCTGGGTGGTTCAGTATTGCTGTTCTGTGATTGAGATACAACTTCTGGACGAAGTTCTTCAACCATTTCTTTACTTTCCAAATCCTATAGAAAAAAAAATTTAACATATTATGCATGTCAATTAAGCAAAATAACATCCAACACTAAAATAATAAAAAACTGACACATCATGATAAAAATAAAAAATAATAAAACATACCCAAATTTTGATAGATGGTCCGAATGCAGCACACAACCAGTAACGGTTAGGGCTGAAGCACAAAGCTTCAATGATATCATTATGGTCAAGAGTGTGCAAGTGTTTGCCGTCGTTAAGATCCCACAACATAGCTTTGCAATCCTAAAAAAAAATTGTTATAAATATATAATTTATCCATTTTTTACTTTATAAAAAATATATTTTCTTACCTTTCCTCCTGAAGCACACAGAGAACCATCAGGTGAAACAGTAACGGTGTTGAGGTATCCAGTATGTCCATAATGGTTGGTCTTAATGCGACAGTTAGTTAAGTTCCATACCTTAACAACCTTATCCCAACCAGCACTAACAATGATTGGATTGTGGATATTAGGAGAGAACCGAACGCATGATACCCAATCGCTGTGACCATCATCCTAAAACAAAATATCAAATTTTTTAGTTAATTTAATAAAAAAATAATAAACTAAACACATTCCTAACTAAAGCAAAAATTAATTATCAAGAAAAAGATTTTAAAATACAATTGTAATTATCAAAATCATCAGTTTAAAAAAAATATATTAAAAAATTGATTTTTAATTATTAACACAACTTTATGCTTACAAATATTAATGATTTCTACAAATTTTTAATTTATATAAACAAATTAGTTTAAATTGGTTTTTATTAAACAGGTATATTGAGAGTTAACCACTATTTTCAGCATTGTTTTTGATAATTTAACCATCTACATATTAATCATATTATGAATTGTAAAATAGTATGTTGTCTAACAAATTTATGTTTATATTCATCAAAAAATAGCTATTTACAACAAAACTGTTAGGTGTTATAAATATTAATAACTATTAATAATTAGTAAAAAATTTACAAAAAATGCATGGTTATACAGAAACCTCATTATGCTAAATACAATTCTTTTACTGAATTTTGTCACCTTGAAATAAATTTTAACTTAACCTGGCACTTAACCAATGTAGTAAGGAATAATAAGCAAATAAATAATACAAGAAGAAATTGTAATTACAATGATGATTTATATGATGAAAAATAATTTACTCAAACATATTCTACTGAGTACTAAAAAAAAATAAAACAAAATTATCCATTTATAAATAATATATAATATTTATATTTTAAACAAAATATAATAAAATAATTATATATTAAAGATTTAACCAGTACCTAATTGTTGTAGTTGTTAATTAACAATGTTATCTGTACCTCAAGTAGTTAAGCTTAACGTAGAGGTAAATAATCATGTAAGGTATTCTACTTCATTATAATAGACTAGTTTAAAATTAATGCAAACATCAAGAAATATGATAAAAATGTATAGTATCATCAAAATCAAGATTAAAATAACATAACATAATACTAATGAATTTAAAATTATTTTGGAATGAAATATCTTGATGTAACTAATACATTATAGTATGAGTCACGAAAACATGCGAATGACCGCAGCGCACTGTGTCGATTTTTCTAAAAACCAATGGACCTTAATATTTGATTCATCACAAGTGCGCGTCGCTGGCACAACAGATAATATACGAGTTTTAAATTTTATATTTTACGCAAAACATTTTGGTCACCACCGAGAAATGGCCACTAGGCGCACGGTGGTCATTCGCATGTTTTCGTGAAGCATACTATAGAAATTAACTTTTAGCATATTTCCTACCTGAATAGTGTATTTGCACTCAGCCAAAGTATTCCACAGCTTGATGGTCTTGTCCCGACTTCCAGAAACAATTTGACGGTTGTCAGCAGAGAAAGCAACGCTCAATACATCCTGAACAGAAAAAAAAAGGTTAACAAATTTACAAATTAATGTGACCCTGAAGAACATTCCGCGAAGCATTTACCGAAGACAAGTGTAAGTACTTACCAAGCAGTAAGGCTTCTATGTATAATAAAAAAAAAAAAAGTAAAAAAAAAGCTTGAGATAATTTGAACCTTGGTGTGGTCTTCAAAACGACGAGTAGTACGTCCAGCGGCCAAATCCCACAGACGGAGAGTCTTGTCCCAAGAACCGGAAAGCGCATAGTTACCATCAGATGAAAGGACAACATCGCTGACAAAGTGTGAATGACCGTACAAACGTTTCTTGGGGATACCGTAGTTGAGTTCGTCACGTGTCAAGTCCCAAACGATCAAAGTCTTGTCTGTGAAAGAAAAAATAGTGCATGAGTACCCAGAAAAAAACTAAAAGAACTTTCAAGAGTTCGGTACCGCAGAGGATCACAACAAAACAATCACTAATCCAAAGCACAATCGCTGGGTAGTCCACAGCAGCAGTCTTACACACAAAGGGAATGAATTCAAATTTCTTAGTGGGAAAATCGTGTGTAAGCCACAAGCACTCAGCAATAGTGACGGACAACAGTAAACCGCTAGAGAAGGCGTTTGGTAGATGCCACACTTACCTCGTGAACAGGACAAGATCATGTCGGTATGGATCGGATTGGTGGCGATTTGCGTTACCCAACCATTGTGCCCACGAAGGGTTCCACGGAGTTGCATAGTTTCAGTCATTGCGAACGATTTGGATCAAAACTGTTTACCTGTAAATAGCTAGAATAAAAACGAGAAAACCGGAGGAGTTCACGTGTTCAGTTCGGGACCATAGGAAAAAGAGATGTGTTCACAGAGTGCGGACGCGGATCGACTAACATTCGCGTTTGGGGTTAGGTTACCAATGTTACCAGGCCTACAAAACACTAACCGCGGTAGTAATATAAATGCCACTTCAATATTTGTTGGCAATATACAATTATTATTATACAAAAACATTCTTAAAAAAAATTCCAAACACTATATAAATAGACTTTTCAATTTACATTTCCCCGAAATAATAATAATATTATAATATGATTTTTTTAACATTTTATTCATAGTAACACATAACATAATTAAACGTATACATGACCACACTGATTCACAAACACGGCCATAAAATGACCGCCCGTTTTGAATCGTCGTATTTATATTATGTAAAACTTATTGTTTGAAAATAAATTTTATTAGCATTTTCTTTAAGATTAAAATATTAAACTAATCAAAATTCAAACCAAACGCGTTAATAAAATTTAAAAAAAATACACTTACACGTCTTACGCTAGATTTTAAAAAGCGTTTTCGAAGTAAAAAAAATATATAAAATCTCAAAAAAACAACCGTCTACATAGATAATAAATTTTTTCAAAATAAAATGTTAACAATTTTAATTTTTGTTGAGATCTTGATACGAAATTACAAAACGTAATTATATGGATCCGAGATAATAAGTAATAGTTAATATAAACATTTTAATTATAACAGAACTTGAAATACAAAGCTAATTATATTACTCTGAATAATGATTGGATTCACTTACTACATTATGGTTTCAATTAGTATTTTTGATAATTTGCTTTCTTTTTTCAAAGAAATATTTAAATAAAATTCAGACATTTTAACTGTACTGTCTTACTTATTACCTTCTCGAGTAGATATGCATTATTAGTATATTTTATATGACGTGATGTCGTATATATATAATAGACATTCGTCAATTTTATTTTATTTTTTATCATATAGGTAGGAATAATTTTAGCAAGTAAGATATTATTATTAAAGTAGGTCAGTTCTATGAAGCAAATTTTCTGAGGTAATTTATTAAAATTTTATCCTATATAACACCACACGCATACAGTGGCAAGGCAATTTCGTTCGTTAAAAACGCAAGTACGAAGATTGAACACAATTTTCGTATGAACAAAGAATATTTGTATGAAGTGATCGATTATTTAATTTCTTGAATAATATAGGTACTATAAAAATATACTAGGACTCAATATAAAAAACGATCTTCCCGAACAATTATCGAAAATCATATGACCCGACAAAGAAACAAACTTATAAGTAATAAATTTCCTAGAAATGTCCGAGCTAATTAATTTAATTTAATTTACACAATGTCAGTAAAAAAAAAAAATGTAAAAATGTAAAATGTAATATACTCTGTAGCCTGGTAAAGCACTTACTCAAATATCTACAATTCCTATCCACAGCTAATAGCCTTAGAATAAGATCAAAAAAAAAATCGTAAATTTCTCTTACTTAAACATAACTCAAAAAGAATCAAAATAATTTGAAAACTTCTCTATAAATAGAAAATAATAATACATATATTTTTATTTTTTTGAAAATTTCAAGAATCTATCGATATTCTTTTTTTAATAAAAAAAAAAAAATAAATATCGTTTGGTAAAAAAAAAAATGGTAATTTTACTTGTAAATAAATATTCAACATTTTATAAGTCAAAATTACAAATATTTTTTTTAGTAAAATTTTCCAAAACTATAAATGATTAAATAAATAAAAAAAAGCATATTAATTAATTTCATGATTATATTATGTCTACTGCCTATTTAAAGTATTTTTTTTTCATTCCTAATTGTTGTCAAAATGATATCCTTAGATATAGACATATATAGAATCTATATCATAGATATTTTTAATCCATTATATACTTTCCATACTCTATAATAGGTAGACTGTCGAATGAGTATTAGTTACTAGTTTTTTTATTTGTATCTATCATTTACAAACGTAGATAAAACCGTTATGAAAAACGTTCCGGCATATACTTCAAGAAAAAAAACGGGAAAGTCATTGTTTCTAAAACAGTGAATCTCTTACTAATTACTTTAAATGGATTACCCGGTTAAAGACATTTATACGGCCATACTACGATATATTAGTGATCGTAATAATATTGCACATAGTTCGAAGTCTCGGAAGCATCAAAAATAAATTCAACAATAAGCAATTATTAGGTTCACTGTTAATGTAATATTATGCTATACCTACACCTTTTAAGGAGTTCGAAGTAGGCAAATTTAATCAAAAACAACGAAAATTTATTGCAAGTGCTTATACAATTCATTAAAATACACCTTCTAATAATACTTTTGTCTTTTTCAACGTAAGAAGTGATCTAATTTCAGAAATATTGTGATAATAAAATAAAGATATATAAAGAAAACCAAGTTAGTTAGGTACTCTATGTCGTAACTACTAACTAGTATAGGTATATGTGTATAATATAAATTTTTCTACAATATCGTTCATAGCTAAAACATTTAAAACAGAGAAAAGAAAAATTAAAGATAACCGAATCATTTATTTTTAATGCATTATATAAAATAGAGTAACAACTTTTAGCACCCAACAAATCGCACGAGTTAACCTTTTTTACCAATACTAAATTTATACGAAACCATATCTATAAAACATAATTTAGTATTGACAGTCTTTTACTTTAGAATTTAATTAGGTACAGCAATATAATGAATAAATAGGTACATACATAGATAAGTAAATTACATATAATTGTTAAAAATAAACAAAGATACTTATTATTATATTTAGTACTTAGTAGTAGACAAGTATTAAGCGTATAATTAACATATATGACATAGCATAATTACGAGTAATACATATCGGTATATACATATCTAATGATTTTTAGTCTAAATTAAGAATTACATAAAAATAAGAAATAATATTAAAATACATAAGTAATAAATATATTGAATATCTATATTTAAAACCAAATATGTATTAATTTTTAGATACTTTTTGTTTTATCACGTATTTTTACTTTTTAGTACAATTTTATTATACAAGTAATAAAAAAATTAAATAAAAATAAGATTGGAAAATGGATATCAGTCTGCTGTACAATAGCTGGTGGCTGTAATGGTTTGCCAAATTTGTATTCAATGATGTTGCATTGTAGACGAAAACCGATTCCTATAGCGAAGACATACTTATCCTATGCATAAAAATTAATTTGTTTTTTTTTTTTAATAATGACATAACAAAAATCAATTTTTCAATAACGGGTTTAATGTAAAAATTCCCAACATTTTTCTTTCATTTTTTTCTCGATTATTAAGAAAATATTGAGAATTATTATTTACTTTATACACCTAAATTGAAAATCAAAGTACTTACACTAATCTAAAGTGTTACACAAACATCATGATAAAATCATAACATTTATCGCTCTGCTATAAGAATCTAGAACAAAGATCAAGCTATATATTGAGGATTGATTGTACCTAGTCATTGACTCACTGTGTAAACATATACGAGTACACACTTTTCAAATTGGTTTTGTTGAGAGAACCGTCTATTAAATATTTATTTTCTTTTTTCAAATAGATTGAATGTGAATAAAGGACAAATATGACCATGCAACAAACGAGCGAGAGAAATTCTAACATTCAATTAACTATAAAATGTGTATCTAAAATGTATTTCTTAAATATTTGGGCGTTAATGTTGAAATAATACATACGTTTAATAACATCATAATGATTGAAAAGTCATACAATAAACAATTAAGAACCAAGTTGATGTGATATAAAATATAAGTGTACGTATATAATATAAGTATTAATTTGAATTTATATGAGTTGAGTTGTTATTGTTAAAAAGTTTTAAACAATTACATACTTTAATTTTAGAAATTTAATAGTTACTTACATGTGTTACATTTATTTTTGGTACTGTTACCATTGAATATTAATCCTATGATATTGACTACAATAGTAATTTTTTTTAATTTGCACTTTTTTTAACAAAATGTGAAAACTAAAGCTCAATACTAAAACATAATTAAAATTAATTATTTAATTAATTAAATAAAAAAAAAAGAGAGATTTACACAAATGATTTTATAAAAATTGTTGCAATTATACCCAACTTCTTATTCCAAACGGACAAAATTTACTATCCACCATCACGTTCAATAGTGAAGCAATATTTCTGCTTAAAAACGCGACGACTGACAAAATTAATTTAAAAATATCTTTAATTAAATAAATAATATATCCCCTTTTAAAATATTTTCTTTTTACAATTTTTATAATGTAAATAATTTTGGATGATCAATGCAGCACTTCACAACGATTAATGCTCAAGATTTTTTTGTATTCAATTTTAAAATATTTAATGAATTCAAAACATTTCCAATAAAATTAATCTCAAATAATATAACATTATGAATTATGATACATACGCTCACGGGATGTATATATAGTGTAGACTGTAGACGTGCTATCCGAATGGTAGTGAAGGGAAAAATTATGGCCCATGGATATCGAATTCAAACCATAGTTTTTGTCCGTGGTGTGCTACGTGAATAGTTAACATTTCATTGATTAAAATACAAAACAATTTTTAGGATAAAATAACTAAATAAACATTAAAAAAAAAAACTATACTCAAAATCACCATAATGGTATTTTTAGAATTTATATCGTCATGTTAAACTACTTCAAAATCATTATCTTTCATCTAATAAGACCAAAACAAAAAAAAAATAAATAAATAAATAATAATAATAATCTTCCAGTTAAATATTTCTATAAAATCTAAATACTTAATATTGTGGGTCTAACAAAATAAAATAAATTATAGCATAAAAGTTTCGAACTAATAACTGCAAACAATAAAAAACAGCCATAATAAAACAGTGCAAATTTCTAAATAAAGTAATAATCTTCCAAAATCACATCACAGAAATATTAACCATGAAAGTTGATAGAAATTGACACGGAAGTGAAACATACGAGTTAAGTACCGGAGTAAATAAAACTACAGTTGTTCGA